TGGCGAGGAAGAGTCGCAGCACCTTTTTATAAGAAAACATTAACGAAAGTGTGTGCTAATAACTAACTTACGTAAACTTCAAAATGTGAAATGTCAAAACATACTAAAACATGTATCAAGTTTTTAAGTTTTACTTTCACTTGAAAACTGCATTGCGGCAACATCTTAATTTTGATCGATGGTCGTTTTATAAAGACTTTTATTTACTATATATTTTTAAAATTTGTTCAATCGTTCATAGTGGCATAGCTTAGTGGTCAGCTCGCTGGCAGCTGACCTGAAGAGCCATGGTTCGAATCCTACCTATGGCATGTTTTCTTTTTAAATTCATTTTCGATTTTTCTAAAGTACGAAATAAAGATTATGTATAGAGATTATATACTTAACAAATGTAAAAATATTTTACACTTAAACAAACGAAAGGAAGAGAATTTTTAAAGAAAGCTTAAAAGTTCTAAAAACATCAAAAAACAGGAGAAATTTGTTGCGCTTAATTGTCATGTTATTTTAGTTTTACATTTACATTTCTCCAACTAAGTTGAGTTCGCGCAAGGAAAATGAGTATATAACATGTGTATATATAGAATATAAAATCTATAAAGTGCATTTAACAAAAAAAGCAAGCTGATGATTTGAACTTGCCACGCGGCGACCTGAATATTTAAAACAGTAAGGGGGTTTTAAAAATGTATTTTTATTAAAAAATATTTAAAATTTTTAAATTTAAGATAAATTATCTTATGAAATTTATTATTTTTTAAAATGAAAAAAAAGTTAAAACTATCGATATTTAGGTAATAAAAATATTTAGAGTTTTACAGCTAATTTACAACGCCCCTGTTAAATATTCTATACCGAGTGCGCAACAATGACAGAATTTAGAAAACCATCAAAATAGTATGATTCTCCGTATGTGATTGGAAGAGTCAACTTGAACACTTTAAACTGATCTGAACAAACTGCACGAGGCATTGCAAATGTTTACTCGGTAAGATTTTTGTATTTCTTGAAATGACATTGTATCTTCTATTATTGTTGTCATAAATGATATAATTATTGAATATACTTAAAAAAATAGCATGTATTTTTGCATCTGTTTTTAAAATTACGGAACTTTAAATTTCTAATGTTTTACTTGATGAAACATTCTGTTTTATAGGTGTTGTATTGATTCTTGACTGGCTGTTAATTTTACACAAGCTAAAGACGACCTTATTTTGAATACAAGTAAGTTTTTTTTTTATAATTAGTTTTATGTAATTTTATGTAAAATATTCAATCGTGTTTTATATGTATCTAAGTATTTAGTAAAGGAATATTTGCCAGTGTGACCGAGCGGACGACATTCTGAAATATCTATCGAGGTTTGAGTCCAATCGTTAGAACCTTCTCTTTTTTTTTTAAATTTTTTATTGGTTTTTTTAAAAATTCAAAAATAGAACACAATAAAAAGAGAACTATGAAATTGTTTTGTTTTGCTTTTTAATAATTAAAGCTTTCCGCGACAAACTTTTTTTGAACACAGTCAGGGGGATAAAATAAGTTGTTTCTATCAAGAATATGAGTAAAAAATTTATTTTATATTTAAAATAAATCATTTTTTCCAACTTGGTTATTTTTAAAAATGATATAAAGTTAAAATAACCTAATCTTAAGATAATAAAAAAGTTTAAAGTTTCATATCTGCCCCCGTTAAACATTTTAAACCAAGTGCTCAACAATGACAATTCAGATAACTATCGAAATAGTATTATACTGTGTTTATAGTTTTGAAAGAGTCAGACCGCTATTAACTGGTTATGCACAAGGCATTTTAGATTTGCAAGCGGTAAGTTTTGTATTTCTTGAGATATCTTAGATTCTATTATCATATAAATGATATAATTGTTAAGTATGCTTTTATTTATATGTAGTATGTATTTGTTAATTTGTTTTTGAAGTTGCCAAAGATTTTAATGCTTTACTTAATGAAACAGTCTGTTTAGTAGGGGATGAATCTTGACAGGCTGTTAATTTTATAGAAGCTAATGTTGACCTTATTTTAAATATAAGTAAGTTGTTTTTTATTATTATTGGTTTTAAATAGTGTTAGATATTCAATCGTATTTTTTATGAATCTAATAATTTAGTAGAGTGTTATTGTCTGGAGGTGTTTGATATTCAGGTAAGATTTTATTAAGTTAATTTATTTTAAAAGAATCTTTTAAAATTTACTTATTAAAAATTTTACATTTGCGTTTTTTTCAATTCCAAATTTTGTTTCTATTTTTTTAATATTAAGTAAATTTTTGGTGAAAGATTCTGTTTCTGCATTAAACACTATCAAAATTTTAGTCAGTAGAACATGCAAAATATTGAAATGATTTGCTGCTGTGACTGTGTTTATGATTATCCACGGCAAGATGGTATTTTATTGTCAGTTAAGATTTTGTGAATACTTTAAACTGCAGTTAATCTTTTTTATGTATTATAAATTATTTTGTATTACAAACTTTTTAAATTTTGTTATTTTATTTCTTTAGTTCTACTTTGGTACTTTAGCAACTATCATAAGTTTACTTGGTCTACTGTTAAATATGGTTTTAACTAAGTAAATTTTAATTATTTAAAATTTACTTTGTTGATCATTAGCTAATAGTTTATAAAGAATTTAGTCTGTTGCCATCAAGGTAAAAATAATTTTGTGTTTCAGTCAAATTACAAAATTTGTTTGCACTTATAGCTTTTATGTTTCGTTATTTTGTTTAATTGACTTTTTCATTAATTTTGTTATTAATTCCTTTTCATTTCAAATTTTGCCCGTTTTTAAAAATGCTATATAAAAATAGCAGCAGGCAAATTGGTTTGTAGTATTATTATATAAAGATTATTATATAAAGATGTTTTTAATTCTATCATATGATAATTTTTCATCGTAGATATATCTTACGATGCTTTTTCAGCATATTGCAGTTCGCGAGGCACATAAGTTGTGGGCCCGAATTTAGAGCAAAAGCTCGCTCTCCTCCGCCATTTTTTTTTCTTTTTCTTTCTTAATAAGGATCCTGTAAAAAATAAAATATGAGAAGGATCCTTAGTATGGATCCTGTAAAAAATAAAATATGAGAAGATAGCGGTGGGAAAATATTGCGCTATATCTTTAATTAGTATTTTTGTAGTTAGTTAATAATGCAGATGTAGTTGAATTTTTTTTTGTTAATAAAACTTTTATATGTTTTGTTTCGTTATCATGTATAAATAAATTGATTTACAGTGGTGTTATTATTTCTTTTTTGAAAAAAACTTATTAGTTTGTGACATAGAATTGACTTGGTCGTTAAGTAGAATGCCAAGAATATATATGACGGTTATTGTTGATAAGGGTGATTAATAGGCAAGTAAATTATAAACTAACTTTATATTGATTTTATTTGTAGACCTAATAAATAGGAAGATAACATAATTCAGGTAATTATTGTTTTCAGTTTTTCTCCCAATAGTTAATTAAAGTTTGATATCTTATATTAAAAAAATATGACCATTCGAGTAATTATGACGGTAATGTATATATCTAACATGTAAACTTCATGTTCTGTAATTAGTACTCAGTATTTTTATAAAGTAGATAATATAAATTTTTACAGATTTACTTTAACTTGAAAATTTCATCTCCTTATTTTATAGCATTTCATCTCCTTATTTTATAATTTCATCTCCTTATTTTATATGCCGTTTTATAAAGTTTAATAAGTCTTCTGTTTATGAAACAGTGTTAAAAGATAATACAGCATGCCAAAGTGGTTGAAATGCTTCGCTTGGGTTAAAATCCTTTCGCTTACACTCATAATTTTTTTAAATATTTTCCAAATTTCTAGAAAACAAAGTAAAACATTTTTAAAGGCCTATAGATATTATATGCATTACATTACATATATATAAAGATATTATATATTATAACAAACTAAAGGGAGAGAACTTTTTAAAACGCTGTGTAAAATTTCTAAAAACCTGAGAACACTGTTTGAAATTTGTTGCGCATATGTCATGGTAGAGATACTTTAGTTTTGGATAAATTAGTTTAGTCTGCGCATTTAAGAGACAACTTTTTCTCTAATAGAAAAAAAGTTTTACATGCAAACTGAAATTTTCTTGAAAATTAACTGGGCAAGAGTCCTAACAAGTATCGGATGGTATGAAAAAAAAATTATAGTCTGAAACTTAATAAAAAAAAACTTAACACAAACAGAAAACCCAAAAATGCTAAAATTACGTCATAACTTTAGTTCCGCCAAATCCGGTAATAGGAATGCTCAAATATAAAATAGAAATATTAAATGATTTTTGTATTTCGATATATGCGCCAACTCTTAAACGACTGTAAAACTACCTTGCGGTTATCTAATTAAATCCACCAAATCCGATAATAAAAACAGCTCAATTAATAGATTTAAAAATCATCTGATTTTTGCATTATGATATGTGCGCCAACTGTACTCTAAAACCACTAAAACTTGGCCATGCTTTCTCTCATTCAAATCGATTATACAACAAGGAACTGCAAACTAAAATACAGCAAAGAACTACAAGTAAGTTTCATCTCTATCGTTTACAAGTTTACTTATTTTAATCATCCATTTAAAAAATTAATCTTAATTCGGAACTAATAAAGTTATTATGCTTTTGACACAAGAATAAACATTAAGATTATATTTTAGAAATGAGCAGCCAAAATACAGAAGGTTAGAGTTATTCTTTTTATTATATATAAAATTAATAAATTAAAGAGATAGAAAGAGATGATACGAAAATAATGTTGAAATATTTAGGTTATTATTTTATCAAGAGATTATATATAGATAAATTTGTATGTCTTTAGGCGACGAAGAAGTTTCAGAATTTTTTAGAAGTAAGCCACAATATAATTATACTATATACTACGTATAGTTGCAGTCATGGCTCCCCACAAAGGGAGGTGCAGTTGGTACTCTAGCACTAGGATCCGGAGATAAATGGGGTTCGGC